GGAAAAGAAAAAGTGAGATAAAGTAAAAGAAAAAGAAAAAAGATATGAAAAATAGATAACTTCCAATCTCTCTCTGGTCTTAGGAACATATTTTCACATTTTTGTAATACTTAGTGAGTATATTTTTAAGACAGGTGGCTTTTTTCACATTATAAATAAAATAAAAGACCCTGAAGCAGAAAAACCTGAATTGTACATGTCTACGTAACTGGAATCCAGACTTGCGTAATAATATAGAAAAGAGTTAATAGAAAGCATTTGGAAACACAAAGCGTAAGTTAATGTAATGGCTAGTTCCCACACTCCATTAAACCTTAATTTGTTTGGTTTGAATTTAATGTGATGTGTGAACTTGCCCATTAGGGCATAGCAACCTGTGCAAACAAACATGTTATGGTTTGCTTAAGAAACCACAGATAAATAATTCTGGCTTAGTGTTATACATGGGTGCAACCAGGGTTTTATAATCTTAAAATGCATGTCAGCTTCATCCTACATGTGACACTGAAAACAATGACATATTGATTAGTTAGCCTATTTTTTAAACCAGAAAACCTGGGGGGAAAAAAGGCCTCTGGAACAATATAGAATAGGATTTCCCACTTCAATTTTTCTAGATATTCCATTTTTTTGCTCCTAAAGAAATAAGGATTCTGCGCACTTCTATCTGTATGTGTATATGCCTCCTTACTGTGTCATTTTCTATTATGGAAGGAGCTCTAAAAGGCCTACACCCACCATTCAAAAAGAAACACCACACTTCTCTAGCTGTGAACCGTCCCACTGGTATTATCTGCATGATTAATGAAAACAGAATCAACTGTGTTGATTGCCCAAGGCCACTCTTCCTTGCCTTTAACTTGCATCACTGATGTATCCCTTGATAAAAGTAGATTTTCAAACCATTTAAATTGCTATCATCTTGCAATAAGAATTAGGTTGTAAACTACCCCTTACAGCTACAGTATTTTGTACTCTGCATGATGTCCACAACTTCAAACTTCCTAACTGTGAACATATTCAAACCTGCTGCTATGAATAATTTGGGAGTGCAAACAGTGATTAATCCTCATACACCCTGTTGAAATTAAAGCCAGATTTAATATACACCAGATTTTAACAATGATTTGTTGAACAGCTACAGTGGACTGGTTCAACATAATGCTAAAAGCTTCTCCACTTGTCTGCTTGCTCTGGCGCAAAAACACCCTGTAGCCATTTGCCTAGGAAACAGCATTCCACCTGTACTGATTTTACGCCTCCCGCGTAATTAAGAGCAAATAATCCTGACTGGAATCACAGAACACCAACTGGCAGGAATATACTTTCCTTCCTTAGCTGCTTTGATTCAAGAATTTCCCACTTAATGCTATCCCACAGGGATATACAGTATATGCAGGAATTGAAAGAATTCCCTGTCTGATTGGATTCTATATATGAATCTGATTGAATGTTAGGAAAAACTTCCTAACCATTAGAACAATTTGACACTGGACTCAATTACCAAGCGAGGTAGGAACTCCACTTTGCGCGATGTGCTCAGGGAGAGGCCAGGCATTCAATCTGTTGGGGATATTTTAAACTGGATTCCTGCACTGAGCAGGGGTTGACTCTGATAACCCTCAATGACCCCCTTTCAACTGTGATACACGGGAGGAGGAGGAAGAGGAGGAGGAGGAACACCATCTA